ATAACAAGGTTTCTTGCATTAACAACAAAAGTAACATCTTTTTTAGAAAAATATATTACACATTTATCATATACAAATATAAATAAAAATAAAACTCTTAAGCTAAACTGAACTAAAAAATAACAAAACTTTTTCATGCTGAATACAAAAAAAACTCATACAGCTATCACCTGAACATAAATTAACCATACAACAATATACGAACCAAATGGTCACGTATTTAACCAACTAACCAATTTATGTGTAGCAATCAGGTTTGTAGCATCGTAAGAGGAACTATAAAAAATCTAAATAAAAGAAACGTCAATTTCTCTTTTTCTTTTCTAACATGAAAGGTATATAGTCCTTAAAAATTTACTTTTTAAGTTAAAATGTGCTAACCACTGATTGTTGGTTGTATGGTAACCAGAGCAATCAGTCTATTCTACGATAACAAGAACGGTAATCCCTAAGATACTATGCAGCAAACACCAATTGTGTTGAGGTTTCACTGCGCAGGTTTTAATTTTAATATTAGTTAAATAAAACGTGGAAATGAAATAGAAAAGTAAAAAAGTAAATGAAACAGTGGCACGCGTAAATCTGTTTGAATAACACATCAATAACTTCTTAAATACGCCACTGAATGAACACCCACCTTCTTCTTTCACCGATGAGTTGAGTTTACCGAAAGTACAAGCTGAATATAGCCGCAAATGTCAAACATGGAACAAAAAATTTAGGTATAGCCGTGTTGGCATGTTTTTATAATGTAGGTGCTGTATACTTCAAATATAAAACGATAAAGCTTTAGAAAAGTACATTTTGTTTCTTTGGAGAATAATTGCAGTTAATTATTAGATTTTTTTAGCAACTACCCTTTGATAGATTAGGGGATAGATTTGGCAATCGTCAAATCAGCAGTTGCCAGATTACAAAAGATGTTTGCAATTAATCTCGAAAAAGACAAATATCTACTCGTTATTGCTTCATATAAATTAAAAATTGCAGAATTCATAAAATAGTATAATCAAAATGTACTTTTTAAAAGCTTTATCTCTTTATATTTGAAGCATACAACATATGCATTATAAAAACATGCCAACACTGCCAAACCGAAATGTTTTTGACATTTAAGGTTATATTCAGCTTGTACTTTCGGTAAACTCAACCCGCCGATGGAAGTATTCTGGGCGAAATAGGTCGGCTGCAACCTCATGGTAATTTGAAAAACCATTGTTACGTTTAAAAAGAATTTGAAAAAGATATACCTATCAAATAAGTGCTATTATTTTATCTTTGCTAGTTGGTATAACTGCCCAATTATCAGTGTGGCGTTTTCACAACACTAGGCACAAGGCATAAGCATATTACATAAAATCATTTTTGTTCTAGAAGGTGAAAATAAGATGTCAAATCAACTTGGCTGGACCAGTTTCGGCCGTACTAGTAATAATAGTCGTCCTAAAAAATTTGTTCGAATCAAGGGCACATAAAATTATAGAAGAATCGAACCTTATGGAGTCGGCTTCCAATGCAGATGTTTTTCTAGAACCTCCTGACCACACTGAATTGATTGATGAAGATAGTGGAGATGAAGACTGTGGAGGAACATTCAATAACCTAAACAAAAATACGTTGGATGTGGAATCTGAAGACGTAATTCATCAAGAAGAAAGAACAATCGACGAAAAAAATATTAATCTATATGAAAAAGAGGCAGATCTTCAAAGTGTGATACAAGTTCAGGAAGAAGAAGGTACGGAAGAGATTGAGATGGAAACAGAAATAGAGACACTAAATGAAGAAATTTAAAATATTTAACATCTACTGAGATTCGTGCAAAAATTTAACTCTCTTACCACGGAAATGGATTCAGGGAGATTTACCACATGAATGATGATTTATTTGGATATTGAACATAGCAAAACTCAATGGAGCACAAACACTTCTTCATTTTATTCACGACCACTCACTCCTTTACAGATCTTTGATTTTTTTTCAATAAAGAGCTTTTAACAAATGTAAAAATTGTAAAGGAGACAGTTCGTTATGCTTTTCAAAAAGGTACTACTTTAGAATTTGGAGTAGATGAGTTAAAAGCCTTTATAGGGATTTTACTAGTTAGTGGGTACAGCACGAATCCAAGAAGACGCATGTACTTAGAAGAATCGGATGACGTTAAAAATATACTGATTAACATGAAAGTTGACTAATTGAAAGTCTCCGCAAATCATCAGTTGCTTATAAAGGCACAATCTTTTGAACAAAAATTTTACAAAACTAAAAACAATAACTCCTCTATTAAAAAAATCGCATTTTGTGTATGAAATTCCCTGCTCGAAATGCCGAAAGATATATTGGACAAACCAGTCAACTACTTAACTCAAGAACACGTTCTCATAAATATGACAAAAAAAAAAACCAAAAACTCAACCCCTCTCACAAAACATGTTATCGAAAAGGAACATAAATTTGATTTTGACAAAATCAAGATTCTAAAACGTGAACATAGCAGAAAAAAGAGGAAGCTCCTAGACTCTATAGAAATAAAAAAATATTAATAATGCAACAAATAATAAAAAAAAAACGTCAAAAATTGAAACAAGATATGTTTTAATTTAATTTAAAATACACAGATAGATAATCTCAGCACACCTACGATGTTAAAATAACTGATTGTTTGAATGATAAACCAATATAGACAAACAATTCTAGGTTTTAGATTATAATTAAAATAGTAACATATTAAAAGTTAAAACTTTTAATGAATAACTTTTTTTCATAAAGCCAAAAATTAATAAAACTTCCCCATATGGTGCAGACTTAATTGGACAATATTATAATAAACTTTTTTATTTTTAGTTTTATGAAAAAAAGTTATTATTTACAAAAAGTTTTGTATGGTCTAAAACCTAGAAGAATCATCAGATATTAAAGGTTCTCGGTCATATACGCGGTTTGTAAAAAAAAATATCAATTTTATCTTCATATTTTTTGACAAAACGCCTATATGAATGAAATAATTTAATATTTCATGATTGTATTTTAGATAATTGATGGATTCGACCGTTACTTGATGGAAATTCATTTTATGTAACAATAAAACACTGAAAACTTTGTTTTCAAACTTCCACAAATTTTATTTTAACTATTATCACTACAGCTGTTTCGGCTGATTGCCTTTCTCAAGTGATCTATTTTTGGCATGCGTTTACAATTTATAGTCTCTAATGAAATAGGTTGAGGAGGGGAGAACTGTTTGTCTCAAGTTGGTCATTCAGAATTATATCTGTGTTTTTTAATTTATTGATTTCCATAGATTCTAACAAAGATAGCTTAAGGCCTTTATTTTGAATGTGAAGAATTTTAAATTTGTCATTAAAAGAATGATTATGATCTAGAAGGTGAAGTGCGTATGCCGAATCTGTTTTTCTATTATTGAAAGCCTTTTATGTTCTGCTATTCGTTTATTAAAGTTTCTACCAGTTTGACCGATGTAAGTTTTTGGGCAGTCGCCACATTGAAGTTTGTACACACCACTATTTAAATGTTTTTTATTTTGGCTCTTGTTATTTTTAATATATTTGCCTAGGTTGTTATTTGTTCGGAAAGCTGGTGTTATTCCTTTCTTTTTTATGTGTTTGGCTATTTTTGTTGTTAGTTTGCCTGTATATGTAATCGAGCAGAAGGTACTGGTTTTTTTCTCTGGTGGTGGAAATACTAATTTCAGGGCTTTCTTGTGTAGTTTTTGATTTAACATTTTATCAATTGTTTGTTCGTTGTATCCGTTGTTTACTGCTATAGAATAACAGAAATTCCAAAGTCAAAATACAACTTTGAGACAGAACTAAATATAATTAAGCAAATAGCAGTAAACAACGGATACAACGAACAAATAATTAATAAAATGTTAAATCAAAAACTACACAAGAAAGCCCTAAAATTAATATTTCCACCACCAGAGAAAAAACCCAGTACCTTCTGCTCGATTACATATACAGGCAAAATAACAACAAAAATAGCCAAACACATAAAAAAAGAAAGGAATAACACCAGCTTTCCGAACAAATAACAACCTAGGCAAATATATTAAAAATAACAAGAGCCAAAATAAATAATAAAAATAAATAAAAAATAAAAAAAACACTTAAATAGTGGTGTGTACAATGTGTACAAACTTCAATGTGGCGACTGCCCAAAAACTTACATCGGTCAAACTGGTAGAAACTTTAATAAACGAATAGCAGAACATAAAAGGGCTTTCAATAATAGAAAAACAGATTCGACATACGCACTTCACCTTCTAGATCATAATCATTCTTTTAATGACAAATTTAAAATTCTTCACATTCAAAATAAAGGCCTTAAGCTATCTTTGTTAGAATCTATGGAAATCAATCAATTAAAAAACACAGATATAATTCTGAATAACCAACTTGAGACAAACAGTTCTCCCCTCCTCAACCTATATCATTAGAGACTATAAATTGTAAACGCATGCCAAAAATAGATCACTTGAGAAAGGCAATCAGCCGAAACAGCTGTAGTGATAATAGTTAAAATAAAATTTGTGGAAGTTTGAAAACAAAGTTTTTAGTGTTTTATTGTTACATTTTAGGTTTTAAAATATCTAGATTTTTTTTATAAATAATAAATAGCTCTTTTTCAGAAACCTAAAATAAAAAAGTTTGCCATATAGGGTCGACTTAATTTGACACCCTGTATATATAATTAAAGAAACCTGCAATAGTAGAAGAGGTAAAATAAATACTTAATAAATATGCCATAAAATAAGATGTACATATTTAATGGTATATAAAAACTATTAGTTTGATTATAGATAACTTCTAATAGAGTAAATAAATAAAAAAAAAACATTCATAAAAACACACTTTGTCAATTACCGTTTCCTGTAAAAAATGCTCTGGACACCGAACAATGTTTTCGGCAACTATATAATATTCGACTTACAACTTATGAGTTTCTTCTAAATGAAAAACTAGACAAATCACAATTGATTAAACTGCGCCACTTTTTCTATTCGACGGAATGAGATATTTTTTGAAAGGCAGTTTTTTATTTTGACTTATACTGTCCAGGATCCAAGCTTCACTGACACAAACGCCACCGTCATTCTTAGCATATTCTCCTACGACTACGGAAGCATTGCGGGGAATTGTTGTAGTTTTTCCTTTGCATAAGCTAATGAGCTCACGGATATCGGAACATCTGGGAATACTTCCTTTGGCGACATATATTGGACCGCAATTTTGAAAAATGTCCATCGTATAAGTGGGGCCGAAGGCTTGCCGCTGTAAGCGATTCTTCTAAAAATAAGATTAGTTATTATTATTATTGTTACAATAATAAATATTATGGCGTATAAAACTGTAAATATATTATGACTAATTCTTTTCTATTTCTAGTAATTTCGGCGCTCACACCTGTTTACCTGCCGGCAGAAATTACTAGACCCTCCGAATTTACCAGAAGGCGATCGACATTTCTAGTCTAGCTGAATGAGTCCCCTAATAGGTGGAAAGTCATCGACTCATAGCCAGATGTTTCTAGTCTAGCGGCATTTCATATAAATAACGGTGATTCTCATTGGGGAGAGTTAGTCAAAAGAAGATATCGCGAACGGGTATTTTACAATGTAACGCTCGTATCCAATGAAATTATGTAAGATAAATTATTATAAATAAACTTTAAATAAATTAAATTTGTGAGTGTTATAAATATTGAACCTTTAGTAAATTGAAATAAGAACAATAAATTAGAATTAATAAAAACATTATATTTTATTTAAGGTAAGTATTATTACCGTCTAGAATGCTAAGAAATGACACATTTTTAACAATTTTTGAAGCGAAGCTTTTATACTGACGTTGTATTACTTTTTTTCTACAATAAAATGTTAAAGCCAGCATCAGCGAATTACCGCCATAAAACGGCGTCGTCACGAGTGAAATCTACATTATTGTTTTGAATGAAGTAATTTTTGTACGCAGTTGATTAAGATTAATGGTATACCAGACAGATAAAGATATAAAAGGATCTAATTACTATTAAACTGGGAATAAGCCACAATTAAAGATAAAAATACGTTTATTGACGTTTCAATTTCCACTTCGGAAATCGTTCTCAAAATACAAACAGTAAATTAAACAAATTTTGTTTTTTGTTACATAGTGAAAAATTCTTCTAATAATTTAATTTTATCTGACTCATTTATATTGACAATTCAGACATACATTATGCATTTTAAAGTAGACGACTTTAAAATGATATTGCCAATATTGTTGAGTTGCGCTCCTGGGACGACTTTACTTATAAGATAGTTCATTCGATTACATGAAATCAACTTTAACTTGAGAATATCCGTCAGAAAAAAATCATAGCATGTAATTCGTCTTTAAAAAGACAAACACATGACATGATGACAGTAAAATTCTCCTGTTAGTGATTCCATAGTAAATTATGAGGGAAAAACCAGGAAAAAAACCTCATAATACTATCCCGACATTGTAAGTATTTGTTCGTGAATTTAGTTTACCTTCAACAAACATCAAAATTCTGATTTTATATGTTACGTTATTTAAAAAACATAAATGATGTATCCTCTATATGTTACTGACTTACTAATACTGGTATTTTCTTATTAATAACTTCCTCTTTCAATATTGGTAACCAGATCCTACTACATTCTGCCGAGGAATTTGCGAGGAATTTTTCTTTTTTTACCATCCGGTTCTTTTGGGACTATATTTGAATTATTCCATTGAACCCTATGTTCATTATCCCATGCGTGTTTACAGATTTGAGATCTATCAAATTCTCTATTTTTAATATAGGATTGATGTTCACTTATTCTAACATTTAATGGCCTTGATGATTCACCTAAATAAAACTGATCGCATTCACAAGGTATTTTATTAATGCAATTCTTTGTCCTTTCTTGTTCATTGTTAGGTTTGGTTTTGGACAAAATAGATCTCAACGTGTTTGTTGTTTGGATGTTGTTGAAATGTTGAATTTATTTCCTATCCTTTTAAGTTTTTCTGATAGTCCTTTTATGTACGGTATTGTTATTTTCCTCATATTATTCCTTGTGTATGCTGTAGGATCTCGTTCTAAGTTGTTCTGTTCTATTCGATCGATTGTTGAAAATTCCTTATTTATAAACGATAAAGGATAATCATTTTTTAATAAAACAGATGTTAACAAATGTTTTTCCTCCAAGAACGAATTTTCGTTAGAACAAGTAATTTTGGCTCTATCGTATAAGGATTTAATTATTCCCTTTTTTACATTAATATTGTGATTTGATTTGAAATTTAAATATCTATTGGTGTGTGTTGGTTTTCTATACACTTAAGTCTCATATCCAGTATCGTTCTTAGAGATTAAAACATCCAGGAAAGGTAGCGTGTTATTATATTCCTTTTCCATGGTAAATGTTATTGTATCTTCTTTACCGTTTATATCATTTAGGAATGTGTCCAACAACTCTGATCCATGAGGCCATATTGAGAATACATCATCTACATACCTCCACCATACTGTGGATTTAAAATTTTGTTTAGAAATGATATTTGTTTCAAAATGTTCCATAAATATATCGGCTAAGAATGGAGATAAACTAGAGCCCATTGCTAGACCAAAATTTTGTTTATAGAATTCATTATTTAGTTGAAAATATGTATTATCAGTACATAATGTTAATAACTCCATTCCGAAGTGGAAATTGAAACGTCAATAAACGTATTTTTATCTTTAATTGTGGCTTATTCCCAGTTAAATAGTAATTAATTCACAATGCCACAAGAAAATAGCTTCAGAACAATATAAAAGGATCTGTTGTATCATTTTAATTACTCATTTTTTAAAAATTATTATTTATTCTCAATCTATTATATTGAGGCCGAGACTATTTACCCACCCACGATGGGCGAGCATAGTCTTCATGCTATCAGCAATCAAAATGGTTTACGCCTGATTGAACTCGCAGCATCATTGGGAATGGTGGTAGTAAGTACATGTTTTCCTCACAAAAATATCCAAAAAGCCACATGGCAATCACCAGATATAAGAGCATGTAGAGGTGCTAATATAGACTCTGACCACTACCTTGTAAGAACAAAAGTCAGGGCTCGTATATCAAACGCTAAGAAGGGCCAGAGCACAAAATCTACAAAATATAATACTGATGTGCTAAAATCTAAAGACCCTCGGGATAACTACAGGAAAATTTTTAATAAAGAGCTGACAAGAATCGATGAAAATTTAAGTATAGAAGAACACTGGACCAAATGCAAGGAAGCTAGCCATACAGCGGCTGGAGTCTTTTTAAAACCTAACTAGGCTAAAATAAACGAAGATTGGTTTGACGAAGAATGTAGATCCATTAACCAACAGAAAAATGAAGCATATAAGAGATTCAGCAGCGCAGAACGAAATCAAACCTGGAAGACTCTGAAAATCTTAGACGAGAAGTAAAAAAGGACGTTTAGAAGGAAAAAGAAAGAGCTATACGAAAACGATTTAAACGAAATTGTTAACCACAATAGAAACGACTCGTGAAAATTCTACCAGAAGATAAACAGTTGCAGAAAAGAATTCAAACCCAGAATAAGAGCATGTAAAGACAGAGATGGTTCCATAATTAGTGGCAAATAACAGATACTAACCAGGTGGGCGAATCATTTTGAAGAACTGCTTAGCGACAGTCGTGAAGAAGACCAAATCTTTAGCCCGGTTTCAAAGATGGCCAACTCCATTTAGCAAAATTTTCAGTATAGGTAAAAAACTGTTTAAACTACTTCCACGCAATGGGTACAGTTGAATTTTTTTTTGTTGATTAATAATGATTTCCAGAGCATCTTGGAATAATAATATTTATGCTTTTTTACTGTAGTTAAAGAGATATTTAACGTTGAAATATGGAGTTGGCCGTGTTTGTAACCAACATGTGGAGATAAACGTTTTTGTCGCCAAAAATATTGCTGATGGTGTTGCTGATATCTTAAGTCAGCAGTAATATACTGAAGTTTTTTTTGGTGAAAATAAAAAAAGTTGAAATATGTGTTACAAATATTAATTTATTGGACTAATACAATATTTGTCAATAAAATTTAAAAGCCCGATCAATACACTAATTACAAAAGTTCTTTAGATACCTGCTTGATCAGTAGACAATATCTGAATCTTACAATAATTCTGAATCAAAAGTCCACTACAACTTGGTTGACTTCCATGACTTCATCACAGTCTGCATTATTTAAGCACTCACATTCAGGAAGTGGATTTTCAGGCATCATTTCATTATTGTTTATCACTTCGTGATACCATTTCATATATTCCATTTCACTCCATTTTTCACCATAATGTTTTTGTAATAACACCAGCACGTCTTTAATTTTTAACGCATTCACTTTGACTCCAGGCGTAAATTTAGTTGGGTTTATATTCCACACTTTTTCCCTGGTCTCAAACTTGAATTAATCGGGAAACTATAGTTTTGTTCGCCACTGACAGTTACTAACTTTTGTTTCTTGGTGAGAATTAACTTTTTGACTTGTGAAATTTTGAAATGAAGATTTTTTGGGTCTTTAACACAGTTTTTAGCTTCTGACTTCCAATCTTGGTTGGTCCAGTCTTTTCCTAAAAGTTTGACTGTCCCATGCTTACTAAATTCTGAATGATATTCTTCAAGCTGCACAATTGTATCTCTTTTCTTTAAACTTCGTTCTATGCCACCAAAAATTCTATCACTAGGCATATATGAGTGACCGGTAACAGGAAACACAAGCTCCACTGTAGTGATTGAAGTTTTAGTCCTGTGCAGCCAAGAAATGCACATCGTTAATACAATAGTATTCTTGTTTTGGCCTGGACACCCATCAGCTACCATCCTTAAGGTGTCTTTTCCTTCAAAGTAACCAGATTTAGATCTGCACTCAAGTTCTTCAAATACTACAGAGGTTATTGAAGACTTTTCATTTCGTATTCGGCCCAAGAGTAAATTGATACATTTTCTTTGCGTACAGCTTCGGTTCCAGTAGAACATCCAGAAACTATCGTCAGAGGCATATTTTTACATTATAGCAACACTAGGTTCATCTTTTTTCAAAGGGTTAAAAAACCCTTTAGCACGGGTAGTGTGAACAGTGTATTCTGCTTTAAGCGTTTGCAATAAGGTTTCATTTTTTTCAACTTTAATTTTTTCTTTGTACTGAAGGCAGGTTGAACACACATCTGTCGAAGGCCTTTTAAAGCTAATGTTGAACCTAGTTACGAATATGTGTCGGAAAAAACGACTCTTTAACTTTAAATTCATCAACAACGGATTCTTCGTACATCTTCCACATTTTAGAAATAGACAGGGTGGAATCAGAATAGACAGCTTTAAACAGCTTTACAAAATGTATTACAGAATCATTTTTTTTTTATATATGTTAGCCTTCCTATAACCACCTCGAGTTTCCACAGGTAGGGACATCCATGTTTTTTAAATCTTGTGAAAACATCTTCAACTCTGTGTTTTGTGATTCCCAATACTACATTAATAAAAGTATTCCTACATATCTCTAATCTATTTCCTGCTGTTGTTTCAATACAATATTGGTAGGTTACATCTTTAGTATGTCTTGATCCATCTCCTGGTCTGGTTCTTTTTGGTTGTTCTGCTGTGCAATACTTAAGAATGAAAGCATCTTGGCTGGCTTTTGTCTTTTCAGAATAAAATGCACTATGAAACCTATTTATATCTTGTATCTTCAATAAACTGCAATTTTTCTTCCCTCTGTGGCCACATGAAGGAGCATCAAGTAATCGCTTTGAACTATACCTAAAACAAACATTGGATTCAAAACCAAAATACAAACTGTTTTATGTCAGGGAAACTTATTTTATTCTAACATAAGTCAAAGAAAAATAAAAACATTGTGAAGTGTGAATAGGTTAGGCCTACTAGAAATTGTTCCATTTTCACTCTAATAACTAGGCCTAGGCCTAAGTAACAGTAATTTTAAATGAATGTTATTTAAGTTTGTCTATTAGTTTATTCAATGTTAGGTTATGGTTTAATACTAACCTCAAAATCTTCTGTTTGGCTCTTTTCCAATTTGAAGGATTTTGTAGTTTCTTTCTTCCTTTCAACAAAGGAGATTCTTTAACATTAGTTCCTTCCATGTTATTTCTGCAGGTTTATTGTAATAATATCTTTTTAGTATATTAGTAAAACTTTAAAATACTAAACAATAAAACAACGCCAGTCACAACACACCAGAATAGCTCAGTTCACTGCTGTCTTCTGTTTCACCTGAGGCGGTGAGGTCACGTGACAGAATGAAGCCATCTGATTGGTGCTTTGTGGAGATGGCTGTTTTTGTCACCAACATATTTGAGAGCTGGAGGCCCAGGATAAATAGGCCCAGGAGTTACAAGTGTTAAACTTATAACAGTTCTAATGTCTTTAACTGTTTGGTATACCATTAACCGTAATCAACTATGTACAAAAATTATTTCATTAAAAACAAAATGGATTTTAGAGGCGTTGTGATCTTTTACGCAACTTTTACAAAATGATTAACAATAACTTACTTCCACAGCAGCAGAGAAGTTGGTTTCTTCAAAATCTTCTTCGGGCAACCATTTTCCGCTTTCTAATGATTTAAACAACTAAAAAAATTGAATCATATTACACATGATTGTATTTGAATAATTAATAATTATAAGATGTAATGCATATTTCATTAATATTGATAATACACTCGGACAATCAACTTCTCACCAGATTATTTTACTTATATTTCAACTATCCGACTAATTCAGAAGTTATACCGAATGTTTACTACTTTTTCAAGTTCCTCAAAAATATTGACTTGCAAATAAAGTAGTAAGTATGATAGAAATAGTAAAACGCTTTCAGTCATATACGTGGTTTGCCAAAAAATATGAATTGTGGTAATTATTGACTCATATATAAAAAACCTAGTTTTTGACAAACCGCGTATATATAAGTGAACAAAATTGATATCTGATGAGTGTAGTCTATATAGGTATTAGATCATTCAAAATTTTTATAAAGAATAACTTTTTTTCATAAAATAAAAAAGTTTCCCATAATATAGTATACAGAGTGGCCCAAAAATCTGGAAACGGCTAATTATCTCGTAAAATGCTAATCATAATTGTACAAAATTTGAGGTACACCTATTTTGGGATACAGAGATTCCATATTTGATATTTACAATGTTGCCAGATTTGCCGTTTTTCTTATATTATTAGTAACTTTGGTTTTTCAAATACATCACCCTGTATATTCAGTCATTATTGGAATCTCCTATTCAAAACGAGTTCAACCATATGTAACACTTATGATTTTATGTAATCTGGAAGGTCATAAATAGATAAAACCGAAGTCTGGCAACGCCTAAATTGTTTCAATACATTTTTTAATACTAACTATTTTCAAATACATTAAAACGTAACAATTCATAGTTTAGAAATTTTTTTAACATAGTAGTTACGTTATTAAGTGTTCAAAATGTGCTCAATTTGTGAGTTGACAGCACCCTAATCGATGGTAGAAGGCGTCTACCACATTTCTCCATGATTGTCTAGAAATTATTCGAGATTCATTGATAATTCGTTGCCTTAGCTCTGCAAGACTTGCTGGTTAAGTTTTGTAAACTGAATTTTTCAAGAATCCCTAATAAAAATAATCTTTAGGATTGAAATCGGGTGAAAGTGGAGGCCATTCAATTCTACCTTGTCTACCAATTTATCGTCCAGGAAATATCTCATCTAAATATCGCCAAACATTTACACCAACTATCTGACGTTAAATTTCTTTCGACAAAAAATGACCCAATTGAATAAGTAACTACTATATCTGACCATACATTTAATTTTTGTGGTCTTCGAGTATGGTTTTCACGCATTCAGTCTTCAGTGTAAATTTACGTCACACCAGTACCTTAAATTGTGTCGATTTACACTTCCACACAGTGTAAAAGTTGCTTCATCGGAAAAACATATTCTGTTAACGAAATTTTAATAATTTTCACTTTTATTCATCATTACCTCAATAAACTCTAATCTACGACCAAAGTCATGTTCACTTAATTCTTGCAATAAGTTAATTTTGTATGATTTAAATTTATTTTTACTTAATAAAAGTAAGACTGAAGAATGACCTACATCATGTAATCGCCTTACAGTTTTTTGTACCGTCGTCTTATGAATAGGAGAACGGTTTAGAGAACGGCATTCTAGAGAAGCAATTTAAATTGCAGAACTTTTTGAACCACAACTACTGTCAATTTTAGTTTATAATGTCAAAATCACAGCATTCTCCATTTAAATATTTAAATTTATTAAAATCTACATATTTTGCACTGTTTTATGTATTTAAGATCTTTCAGACTACATAAAATCAAATGAACATATGGTTAAACTCGTATTGAATAGCTGAACTCGAGTGAAATTCACACTGAATGCGTGAAAACCATACTCAAAGACCACAAAAATTAAATGTACAGTCAGTTATAGTAGGTACTTATTTAATTGGGCCATTTTTTATCGAAAGAAATTTAACGTCAGATAGTTGGTGTAAATGTTCGGCGTTATTTAGATGAGATATTTCCCGGACGATAAATTGGTAGACAAGGTAGAATTGAATGGCCTCCACGTTCACCCGATCTCAATCCGAAAGATTGTTTTTATTAGAGATACTTGAAAAATTCAGTTTACAAAACTTAACCAGCAAGTCTTGCATAGCTAAGGCAATGAATTATCGATGAATCTCGAATAATTTCTAGACAATCATGGAGAAATGTGGTAGACGCATTCTACCATCGATTAGAGTGCTGTCAACTCACAAATGGAGCACATTTTAAACACTTAATAACGTAACTATTATGTTAAAAAATATTCTAAACTATCAATTGTTACGTTTTAATGTATTTGAAAATAGTTAGTATTAAAAAATTTATTGAAACAATTTAGGTGTTGCCACACTTCTGTTTTATGTATTTAAGACCTTTCAGACTACATAAAATCATAAGTGTTACATATGGTTGAACTCGTATTTAATAGGAGATTCCAATAATGACTGAATATACAGGGTGATGCATTTGAAAAACCAAAGTTACTAGTAATATAAGAGAAACTGAAAATCTGGCAACATTGCAAATACCAAATATGAAATCTCCGTATCCCAAAATAGGCGTACCTCAAATTTTGTATAATTATGTCTAGTAATTTACGAGAAAATTGGCCGTTTCCAGACTTTTGGGCCACTCTGTATATTTATAGTGCACAATCAAATAATTAGTCACTAGTAACATTCAATTTTTTTTTTCATATATAATTGAGCTGGACAATGTCTGGGAACACTGGCAACACAGCGGGCGTGGCAATACTCGACTCATATGCCATTGTTTGCCAGTGCTCTCCAGCCTAGCTTGCAACTAGTGTGCACATTATTTTGTCTTCTTGGTGATTAGAGTTATAATAAATAGTTTCCATTGTTCTCTAGTAATATTCTGACAGTTTTCTGTAATTTTAATTGCATGTTTGTATTTGGTATATTCCATTGTGTAGTCAATTCATTCCTTTGACTCATCTTCAGATATTTCCGCGTTATCAAAACTTTCTTCGTCGGAAGCAGTGATGTTTGCATCCACAGATCAGGAGAATTTTCAGATACTTTTCATCACCCGGTATTAACTACTACTGGGACACTAGAGTCCCGTTTAGAAATTATGGTGAAATCGATGAAAACAATATCAAAAATAAATAATATACAGAGTGGCCCAAAAGTCTGGAAACGGCCAAGCTTCTTATAAATTTTTTAATACTATTTTCAACTACATTAAAACGTAACAATTGATAGATTGCATTTTTTAACATAACGGTTACTTTATCAAGTGTTCAAAATGTGCTCCGTTTGTGAATTGACAGTGCCCTAATCGATGGTAGAATGCGTCTACCATATTTCTCCATAATTGTCTAGAAATTATTCGAGATTCATCGATAAGTCGTTGCCTTAGCTCTACAAGACTTGCTGGTTTAGTTTTGTAAAGTGAATTTTCAAAATCCCTAATAAAAATAATCTTTGGGATTAAATTTATTTCTACAATTCTACCTCGTCCATCGTCCGGGAAACATCTCATCTAAATAACAACGAACATTTACACCAAAATGAGCTGGAGCTCCATCTTGCTGAAACCATATCTGATTAAAATTGGCCCCAAACAAGTTACTCAGTGTAGTTACAATTTCATTTCTAAGTAACATTTCGTAACAATCTGACATTAAATTTCCTTCCATAAAAAATAACCCAATTAACTGAGTACCTACTATACCTGATCATAAATTTAATTTTTGTGGTCTTTGAGTATGGTTTTCACGCATCCAGTGTGGATTTACGTTACTCCGGTACCTTAAATTGTGTCGATTTACACTTCCACACATTTTAAAGGTTGCTTCATCGGAAAAGCATATTCTGCTAACGAAATTTTCATCATTTTCAATTTTATCCATCATTACCTCAGTAAACTCTAATCTACGACTGAAGTCATCTTCACTTAATTCTTGCAAAGTTAATTTTGTATGGTTTAAATTTATTCTTGTGTAATACACGTAAGACTGAAGAGCGACCTACATCATGTACTTGTGCAACCCTGCGTGAGGATGTATGTGGATCTTAAATAAAACTTTGCATTATATCTAAAGTTTTGTTGTCATTCATAACTCTTTTCGGTCTACCTAGAAGTAAAATATAGATACCGGTAGATCGGTATTAGAACTAAGCCACACACTAGAACTGGACTATTGTAATTCATTAAAAGAATAAGTTTAGGTTTTTGTTTCTTATTTTAGTAATTATGGACGAGCGAATGCGCAGATAGTTTCAAGGTCAAAGTCGTTTAGACAATCCACAAGCTCTAATAACATAAAAACTTACCCATTCCTTTTTCAACACCCAACAACCTCTGGTAATGGCCCTCAACATATTGATAGTCCTCTTAGGCTCACCAGCAACCAAATGTGTTGTTTTACTGGACACTTCATCTTCAACATCAAATCGCCCTAGTTTCTTGACAATCTGCATGAACACTTGAACATCTTGTGCATGCATCTTGGTACATACTATACTGGGTTGTACGGGTTTGTCGATTTTTAACTTTTTCTTGGCACTTTGAGTTAACGACTGGAATTCATGTGTACTTCTTCTGCTTCTGACAGAAGTCAATGGAGTGCTTTTCAAAGTTAGATCACGTTTTTGTTGAGTTCTGGGCGTTTTACTTATTTTTTGTGACTGTTCTTTTAGTTTTATTCTTGTAGATAACCTTCGGTCATTGACATTTATTTTTTTGTTATCAGTATTAGAGTTGTCAGTAACAGAAGATTTGGTACTGTCTTTTGGTGGACCCATAATTTTATTTTTGTTTAAGAGCTCATTTAACAGGTCAACCTGTTCATCGTCGTCACTATTAAATTGTGGTTTATCATCATTTTTCTTTTTGTTTTTAATAGGTTTGGAGTCCACTTTTTGCTGGGTTGGATTTATAATGTTTTCAATCTCTAAGTTGTTTTTATCTAGAATATTTTTCATTTTTTGGGAAACAATAATAGGTTTTACAAATACACCAGGATCCTCTAATTTTTTAGCTTGTCTTTTTTCTTGTCTATCTTGATTGTCATCTATACATATTTCTTGGAGAGCGGTAGGACTATATAACTTCCTAAATCTTCTTTGTGGTTTAGAATCAGGTGAAATAGTTGTGTCAATATCATTTACATCTGTTGAACTCATTGTTCTCCGTAAGATTTGTTTATTACCGCCCTTCAGTTTAACAACAGAAGAACTGATAGTCTTTCTTCTTGTACAAGCTTTATCAGGAGGTGACATTTTAACTTTCTTTGCTGGACTACTTTTGTCATTAGCAGAAACCTTTTCTGTCTTGGATGCATCTGAAGGTGCTAAAGTTTTTCGACGATTTGCTTTTGCTTTACGTTCATTAGATTCAGTTTCTTGTGATTTTAATATAGGACCAATTGTTTGTCTTTTATTTTGTTTTACTACTCGTTTTTGTCTTTTTTTGATGTTAGGGTCATCTATGACTTGAGCACTAGCTGTCTGCTGAATATTTTCTTTTACTTCACCTCCGCCCACAGTAGGTCTTGTATTTCTTAATTTATTAGTTTCTTTAGGGTTTTCTATTTCATGAACAATATCTTCATCTTCATCTGATGTTTCAAACTCCTTTTCCAATGTGCGGGCCACGTTTCTAATATGTGTTTGTGGTGTTTTGGATTTCTCTATCTTTTTACTGGAAACTTCTATCTGATTTTCTGGTTTATCCTTAGTAACTACAGTAGTGGCAGCTAAGGTTTTTCTCCTATTTGATCGAGGTTTTTTTACCTCATTAAAACCTTCGTCAACTGCTTTATCTTCATCTTTATGAAATAAGTCTTGTGTAATTTTATTAATTTCCTCTTCGTCGATACTATCTTTTTCTTTTTGAATTCGTTTTTTTCTAAGAGTAACATGCTCGAAAGAAATACTTTTTGCTTTATCACTAGGGGTGTTTTTATTTTGAATTTCTTCTGCCTTTTCTTTATCATAAAAAGGATCTTTATCTTTATAGTTTGATGTATTATTTTCTAATTCCCCCAATTTATCAGACATGAGTGAACTGTTTTGTAAAGTTTTTAAAATATTATTTACATTTGTTTGTAGTGGGCTAAAAGATGTTTTGCAAGATTCAAAACTTTTCTTACTAGTGGAGCTATCATTTTTTGAGTCTGATATTCGAAGAGAAGACATGTTGGTACTAGAAGATTTTTCTGTAGGCTTAGAAAATGTTTGTGCTACTGAACTATTTGTTTCTGTAATAAGATCTAGAGCACTTCCTTTTCCTTTATTAGATTTTGCTATATCTGGTGTACCATGGCTAATATTTTTACTAAAAATATGAAGGCTTCTTGGTGTCAAAGTTTTTGATTCTTCAGGTGTTAGCTCATCACCTTTGTTAAAAATTCTACAGCTTCTTGGAGTTCTGACTCTAGATTTTCTATCATTTATCCTTCCAGGTGTAGCAATATTATCATCATCTAAATTATTCATAAGTGCTGTTCTTCTCCTATAGATATCATCATCATTAACTTCTTCATTCCTTGAAGTTTTTGAAACACTCTTAATAATCTGTTGAGTTTGTAGGGTATACACTTCTGGTGAACTGTCAGGAGATTTACATTGGAGATGAAGTGGGCTCTTTTTTAGATCAGTTAATTCCATATCTTCGTTATTATTGCTGGTTTTTGACAACACTTCATCATATTTGACAGGAGTATCTTTTAGACAATCTTCAAATAAATCACTACTTCTGTCCACTATATCCCCATCTATAAGAGGTCCTAAATCAGATTCATCATCTGTAATATCTTCATCTGGAGTCAGGCTAATTCTAGAAGGACCAGCTTGTAAAGATCTTCTCGTAAAGGAGTGTACTTCTTTTCCAGCTGGAGTCATGACCATTGTTCTTCTTCTATCGATAAGAGTTTTGGCAGAGGGCAATGGTGTACCTGCATGAATACTGCGTTGAAATTCTTCATGGATGATGTCTTCATAATCTTTTTGCATTTGCTGTAAAGAATTTTTAGAAATTATAGTTTTAATATGACAATAATGTGTAATAATTTTAATTCATTATAAGAATTATAGGAAAGAAGAAGCTGGTGTTTTTATAGTTCATATGGGATTTGCACAACCACCAAAATAATTTCAAAAACAAAAGCTTAAATTAGAAAAATAAAAAAAATAGTTTAAATGACTCTTGACAGCAATCAACATCACATAATTTTATAAACCTCCTTTGTGTGACCTGCACATGTAAACTACAATACATTTTCACCAGTGTCTCATCTTGAACCATGTACACATAAGTAAGATGTGAGTTGCAATTTCTATAAAACATGATCGAGAAATAGGTATTACTGGTATGTATTACTGAATTTTTTGAATGTACAATTTTGCTACATTAGGAAAAAATAATATGTTCAGGCTTATAATAAAGCTACCGGTAAAAAAATGGACAAAATTTTAATAACAACATATATATAACTGTAAAAGATAAAAATATTTGCAATAAAATGTTGATATGTTCCTAAACATATGAAAAATTTCATTAAACAAAAATTATATCTTGAACTGCTTCCATCAAATTGGTAACATCGGTTATATTTATCAACGATAGATAGCATTACTTTAGCCTTTGAAACACTTCAAACGAAACATCACGCTATAAGGGTTGCCATATCAATTACTTTGTACAACATTTTGGCAGATTACAACAAAATAAGAATGTTGGAATTTTGAACTGGCTATGTTGAAACTTACAGAATAGTAACTTTTGTTTTGAAAGTACAATGTCATAAAATTTACAATTTACAAGTAATATATCTATAAAATACCTATTTAGTTTTTAAAAACCTATATTGGTAATTTTTATATTAGTATAAGCATTAGTTTTTCTTCAGAAATTCAGATTTTGTCAACTTGTATTTTAAATCTTGTTTCTCTTAATCTCTCAAAAACCTTCTTAAGATTTGCCATATGTTTTTGAAGAGAGGTTGAAAATACAATTATGTTATCAGGGATAAATACAGAACAGGAAGTATCAGATAAAATAGAAAGAAAAAAAAATTGTAGAAAACTTAAAAACTCATCAGAACGTGTAAAACTAAACCCATAATGGGTTCTTTTTAGATAAAAGGGTTTTTTAAATAAAAAAAAGCCAAAGCTTCCACAGGGGCTTTTTTAATGAAGACAAACTCCACTATAGCAACAAACAAAAGTATACTTACTGAACAAAGGGCAGATACATTATGATCATAGGCCTCAGTACCAATGGCAGGGTAATTTTTCTCAGATACCTTCATACAGCTAGATTTGCATGCTTCAAGCCATAAAACTGACACTAAGTGAACCTTCAGTAGGTTTGCTTTTTGATACGTAGTAAATGAACCATCCTAAAATAGATTTAGTTAGTTCCCTCATATAATATAAACATTAAAATAAAACTTACTTTAAAAATTACATGTGTAACATCTTTTGTAATTTTTTCTCTGATCACAGCACCCATTGATTGTAAATGAGCTTTTACAGCGTCTGAACGATCTTTAGTACCGGTCTTAACCTCGACAAAAGCTATAACACCATCCAATATTTTATCATAGCTAACTGGTGATGGTACACTAGATGCCACAGACTGTCTAGATGTAGGTCTACTATTATTGCTACCATTTTCAGACCTATCTGATGACTGGGGATTCTTCATTTGCTCTAATGCCCTTCGCCTTAATAATGCAGTTGGACTCTCACAGGCCCTTTTCATTGTTTTAAGCAAGGGACTAGATGGGTGCTTTTTCGCAAGTTCTTTCTTATATGCTTCAATTTTATCTTTCTCTGAAGTTATAAGATTAATTATTAAATTTCGTTTTACTGGATCCTTCATTAGTTGTGAAAATAGTTCATCATTAAACACCAAACCTGTGTTTAAATTATCTGTTGATCTTGCATTATTATTTTCCTTTTTATCTTTTTTCTTTGTTGGTTGAGGTGTTAAATAACCATTGCTAATTTTCGGTTTCATTATTAACTTCGTTTAAAACATATAAATATACAAAGTAAACTCGTTCAGTTTTAATTATTTAAAACTTTCAAAACTAATGTATATGTATATATATAAATATTGACGTTTGACAGAACCTTTATGTCATGATACTATGAATAACAATAGGATCTTCCCGTAGCTCAAAATCGGTCGGGTTCGCGCATGCCGTCATTGGAGACTAGAATTTGAATTCTTGTTAAAGTTAAATGAGATTTGTATGCATTCTGTGATGAAATTACTAGACGAAAATAAGTTAAGAGGTTTAATAATTACAATATTCGTACACATAAGGATATCTCCAAACTATTTATTAAAGATTATTTATTGATATATACAAAAACTGACATTTCGAACGTGCAAGTCTCCAATGACGTCACAAAAACATGCACAATATCTTATCTTATAGTCATAGTATCATGCTTTATGTGAGTTTTCTGCTTTGTCTAAAATGGTTCTTCTTCTTCTCTTCTTTCTTGGCGCTTCACTTAGGCAATTTGCCAGCTCGATACGTGGAAATTCCTCTTCCTCATTCTTGTTTTATACAAATCAAAAATTGCAGTCTTTATCAACATAATATAAACAAAATTTACTTTTCTAAAGCTTTATCCTTTTATATTTGAAGCATACAGCATCTACATTATAAAAACATGACAACACTGCTATACCAAAATTTTTTGTTCCATGTTTGACATATGCGGCTATATTCAGCTTGTACTTTCCGTAAACTCAACCGTCTAAAATTTAGAACTGTCTGTCCCGCTCAAAGAAATCGAACTAAGGATAAGGAAATATAATATCCAAATAGTTCTATTAAATAACCTATCAGCAAATGCTATCAAACTGCGGTTTAATTAATTAATCAATTTTAATTATTTCTGGTGAGAGTAGCTGAATGACTATCTTGAATCTTCAATTAGAAATAGCAAAAATAAGTAGAATAAGTCCTTAACCCCAAAGTCCCCAAATTTATTATTATTGTTTTGGTTGGACTAATAATGTTTAAACCATGGATGAAATTAAAGAGAAAAATAAATATACTGAGTTTAAAGATATAAATGGAAATCCAATTAACTTACATGTACAAGAAATATCTCACTGTGTAAAAATCACAATAGTAAATTGTAGAAAAGGCCTATATAGGAAATGTATAATTATATTTATAATAGCAAGTCTTGATTTGATTTGTTTGGTGTTCAATATTTTTTCCATAAATGTAATTTTCACAATTTTATGCCTGGTGTTGACGTATTTGTATTCAGCATGCAATATAACTACTGAAGGTAATGGTAAATACAATAAAATTATATCATCATTTAACAGCTTTGATTTAAATTGAAGAGTAGCCAGTGTCTACCTTTCGTCTCAATAAGCTGTCTTTTCTGTCTTATTTTGAGTTTACTATTTTTATGGTTTTTTGCTTATTTTTAACAAAGTATCAGCTTTTTATTTTCAAAAACAGAATATTTTGTGAAATAATGAGACGACACGAAAACTTATTTTTTTTTATCAGAAGTTCTTAGGTAGCTTTATTTTTTGCTTACATCATATGTTCACAAGTCTAGTCCACTCTAGAAAGAATTATATTTATAACAACTTTTTTTACTCTTGTGTTAGTTTAATCATTTCTATTGTTTTATAATTTTATATTATGATGAATAAAAATTATAAATTTAAATTATTTTTTATAATATTGATTTGTACCTATTTCTAGAAAGTCTAGTCTTGATCAAAGATGTGGGCATTGAGATTTCCTCAAAACAAGTGGTTGGTGTAAGAAAGATGTTTTTTCCTCAAGAACAAGTACAAAAGATTTTTATTAATGAAGTAATCTTTAGGGTAAGCTGTTGTTTTATTTAAATATTAGCAGATAATTAATTAAAACATTTTTTAGAACAAAGTATTATTTATGTTGACATTATTTGTTAGAGATTTTAGAAACAATGAAAAGTTGGTTCCACTATTTACAGTAAGTATATCAAGAATTAATATCCTTATAATCACTGTTTGTATACTTTAATTTTTTAACTTGTTAAATATTGTTATATATTCTTATGTTTGCTGCCACTTAATTAACAATATAATCTTTCTCTTTGCTTTTATACTTATAAAGAGTAGGCTTCTATTTTAAAATTTCTTCTTTTGGTCATATCAATATTAACTCAATCAATTTATTACCCTAATGAATGTATTCTTTTCTTAAATTTTATCATCAACCATCTAAATATACTTATATCTGTAACAACTGTTTGTTCGGGCTGTTAGGCCTTTGTCTTCTGAGATTAGTTCTCGACATTTCACCAACACTACGGATTGGCATCTTCTGAATGATTAATCTCAGAAGACAACAGCCCCAACAAACAGTTTAACAAGTTAGATGATGGCTGTGAAAGCCTAACACATTTTATCATATCCATTATTCTTCCTTCTGTTTACCTACTCCACATTCAGTGTTGTTAATTGTATCTTTTGTTTCATTACTGCCTTATAGAATTTGCCATTCTGTTTCATTGGAAGTTATATGATACACTACTCACCTCTATTTCATCTAATCTGCTCTATCTACGTGGCATACATCTCTGTCACTCTATAATAATGATCTATTGATATAAGATATCTAAAAATATTTTTTTTCGCAATAATTTCACGATTTTATTGTTAGTAACAACTCTTTGCTACTCTTCAAATGAACATTCTATACATCACACCCTCAGTGCAAGACTGCAGTAAGTCAGAATAAGTAAGTTTCGAGATAAAGACGATTTTGTTTATTTTCGTGCTAATATCAGTGAAATAAGACACAATTTTTAAGAAAAATTAACATTTAATATGATTTTGCATGCTTTTCAGCCTATATTACATTAACCAAAAATAGAAATTTAAATAAAATAACATTAATGCTAAAACAATTAGGAATTTTAAAGTTACAACACTTTTGCACAGAGAAAATTGTAAAAAGTGTAGACATATTTTCTGCTAGTAAAACTGTCAATATTTTAATTTAAATTCAAAACAAAAAGACTATAATAAAAATATGCAAATCAGGCTACCTTTAGTACAGTGATTAACAAAAGGATTGAAATTCACTACCTTAGTAAAAGTTGGGAATTACAGGGTAACAATATGATAAGACAATCGGCCCAGAAGGTTACGTAAAGATTTAATACAATTTTGGATTTAGTTTTTATAGAACAAATTTTATGAAAATAGATATTTTTAACCTGTCAGTATTGTTAATACACAAGTTTTAAGATAACTGTTTTTCCTTTCATAAGAAAAAATACTTTTTGGCTGTAAATAATTAGTCTTAATTTATTCGTTTTTAGTCCAATCTAATAAATAAATGATCAAACGACATCGCACACATTTTATGGAAAATATAATGTCACACAAAGGACATAAAACTTACATGAATAGATTCTCCTCGTAAATCTTTGTTTTATCTTACTTTTTTCGCGCCTTTCATTACTTGTTATCGAAACCATTGCAATGTTCCATGCAAAACTCTAATGTAACAGAATTATAACAGTTTTGCACGGAACTTATGTACAAAAACGCTAAATAGTTAAACTGTTGTTGTAATATTTAGCAGGTTAAGCATTTGAAAGTTACTAAAGTTTTACAGGGGATAGATATGCATGTTTACAATAATTCCATGATTACTTCATTTTCATAAAATTTTGAGTTGCAGCAGTCTTGCACTGAGGGTGTGATATGTATAGTATTGTCTCTATATCAGCATATAGAATGGCAGGAGTAAAACATATGTAATGGATTTGTTTTTTGGTGACATATTGTAATATCTTTTCTTGTTTATATATTGTAAACTATTGAATCATGTACATCCACATGTTCGGCCCATTAATTGTATGCTATTTGTGTTGCCCTGTAAATATTAATGATGTTCATGCAGCATAGCAGTATAAAAATCTAAGAAAAAGTGAAATATTTAACCATTCAATTTTGATCACAATTTTGTCTTTCATAAGAAATTGCAAAGGGTACTGCTTCATTACATGATAAATCATTTTCAAGAACAAGGTACCTAGTACAGAATAGAAGACCACCCATTTTATCACGAGCCGAGGTTGGTTGCACAGGTTTCGAATAGATTCTTTACAGACAGAACTTAAAATATTAAAATTGTAGTAGAAGCTGCATCCACAGATAACAAAGCTTTAGTGGTATTAACAACTGAATATATCTACTCAGTATAGATATATTGGTACTACATAAAATTTTACCTGAATTTACCATAAATTGCAAATTAAAAAACTTGTATTATTCTAATATTTTAATATTTTTAGGATATTTTACCACAGTTAGCAGTACTGAAAATTGTTTACAAACATATCAGACAACAACTTTGAATATTCCTAAGCAATATTCTATTTTTCTGTATAGGAATTTGGACTGACTTTAATCACATTTATAAATTGTTTATAAATAAAATTTATGTATAAATTTGTCTATTTATTGAGTATTTTTATATGAAAATAATTTTTGGATATATTACAAGACCAGTACAAAAAAGCACAGGAAGAACTTAATAAAAAATTAGAGCATGGTAATGATAATAGCTATACTATTAGCTATATTAATTCTGTAAGTAGATGACAAAAGCTGATAAGTCACATTTTTGGCCAAAATGAGTTATGTATATGGACATGTTCAAAAACAGGAGATCTACCAGATGTTAAAATATGATAAGTTGAATCTTTGTAAATAACATAATATAGCCCTGGTCCAAACGTGATATGTGATTTTTCTCCAATTCCAAAGATGTCAAAAGCAGTTAAGTAGGTACATAACAACATTTTGACATTGTTTTTAACTTAATCCAGTCATGGTAAGATGGCAAAATTAGATAAGTACTTTTACCAGTTTTTGTTTACTTTTGCAAGTTTAATTTGTAAGTCAACACAAGATGGCAGTAACTGTTATGTGCTCTTATCTAAAATTTCGGCTTTGTCTGATGAAATATTCCTAGTTTAAACAGATGGCAAAACTTGATAAGTTGATTTATCATATTTTGTCATCTTCAGTCACGGTTCCTAGACTTACTCCGGTTGCCTCTTCCGACTGGGGTGGGGATGCTTGAGTTACGTCACAGGAATACACAAGAATACAGAACTCTTATTGGCGATTGAAACTGAATGTAGAGGGCAGGTCGATTGCAGTGTCATGGCCGATATAAATGGTATAAACAAAAACAAACATAACATTCGAATATTTACCATTGCTTTTCCATTTCCATGTTTAGTTTGGTTTAAGACGAGTTATTTGTATCATTTAATAATGGAAATTAACCTTAATGATATCTTTGAGTATTGTGGTGAAGCAAAGAGTCCATTGGTTGAAGGGGAAGCAGTTTTCAAGTGATGAATTCCTAAATTTTAACTTTAATGTTTGGAACTGGCTTGTGTATTGATGATGAATCCTATTTTGTGTATACCTGGGAACCCAGAATATAATATTCTGTGTAATGTTTGCCTTAACGTATATATGCATTATTATATCTTATGTTTTTAATATGTTAATTTTTATTTTATACTATTTTTTGACATATGTAAGTACTTTATTGTATATTAACATAAATAAATAACTTTAACTTGGCTTTATTGTAAAATAGTTCATTTGATTACATGAAATTAACCTTAACTTGAGATCACCTCTCAGAAAATATAGCACATGATTTGTCTTTAAAAAATTGCATAATAAATTATTTTTTTATGTAATAATTGCATAATAAATTAGTTTTTCAGTTTATTCTAGATTGGATTTAAAATACTTTAACGTAGTCATAATGCTGAAATTTACTAAAAATAATTAATAATTATATTCAAATCAACAGCTGTCTGGTTTGTTTATACCACTTTTATGCCTGGTATTGCGGTATTATAAAACATTTTACTTGCTAAGTAAAATTTAGTTTGAAAGTAAAATAATTTACTCTGCAGATTTGCGTATTTTAAACACATAGTAAATTAATTCTGGAAGTAAATCTGCAAACTAAACTATTCCTTAGTTTTCTACCAAGTAAATTTTATTTAACAAGTAAATATGACAGTTTCAATGTCTTTTCGGCTGGTGTGAAAATATTTAGATTTAATAATATTTTGAAATGTCTTCAGTATCATCAGTGTCAGATGTTAATTCTCCAACTGTATCTAGTGTTGATAGTGACTGGTATTTTTCAATAAATATACAGATGGATTGTGATGCAAATTTAAATGTAATCAATGTAGTTGCTAGATGGCCTGGTTACTCCCACAATAGTCATGTATTTGATAATTCTCTGATAAGAGCTCAGTTTGAAAACAATGAGTTTTGTGAAACATATTTACTGGGTGATAGTGGTTATCTATGCCGAAAATATATTTTAACTCCCTTACATGATCCACAAACGCCAGCTGAAAGGAAATACAATTATACACATATCCACACACAGAATACAATTGAAAGAATGTTTGGTGTCTTAAAGAGAAGGTTTCCTTGTTTGTCTACGGGACCAATGGAATAGAAACACCACTAAATTGATAGAAATAAAATCTTCCGTCCTTCCATGATACTTCAGGCCTTCAAAGCGACAACATCAAATCCCAATAAGAAGTCTCAGATTAGGACACACCTCTACAACACATGAAGACTTGTTGAAGAGAGAAAAGTGTGTTATGTTTGTGAATATAAAGTGATAATGAAGCACATACAGTTGCAAGACTATATCACCTCATTCCAAAATGTAAAGAGTGTCTAGTCAGTGTAAATAGAGCTATTCCAATTATAGTGGCAATTTGTGTATTGCATAATATATGTAGAAGGAGGAATGATGTGCTGACTGATAGTGAAGATGGCAGTAATCACGCGGAGTCAGAAGATAAAAATTTAAACAAGGTCACTAGAAATCAAGATAATTTTGCTGTAAGAAATGCTGTCATTCGTACTGCATTTATTAATTAAATAAAATGTTTATTTTAAAATTATTTACGGTTCAATAAAACATAATATAAGAATTATGAGTGTTTTAATTATTGTATATGTATTTTTAATTTAACAAAAAAAGTGTTGACAATTCAAATAGTCACAGAAATAAAATTAACTTAATTGTGTCAACTTTTTCTTATTAAACTCTGGTAATAAATCTATGAAACAAACTAAATATAACACCAGTAACTTAATGAATATGATATTTATGATACTATAATGAACATGTATTTTTATTACAGAATTTTTCTACAATAAATACATACTTATAAGAAAGTGTTTATACCCACTTTTAACAGATAACTTTGTGAAAAATAGGCAAAATGTTACGGGATCTATTAGTATTTCATTTATCTATAATATTCTCAAGCGATACATTGTCATTTCAAGGAAGTCATGAAAATAAGATCATATCAGCAAGTAGATACATAATCCTTTCATTTTACGGTATTTGAAAAACAAAGTATGTACATATATTTCAGTTTCATTGTTCAGTTTTTTGTGTTTATTATTATTCTTGAGTAAAGTGTTTGATTTTAAGACGGCAAAATGGAATTTGTGTTGTAAAAATATTAGATGAAATAAGCATTCCTTAACTTTTCCAGAGGACACAGCAAGGTTTGTAAATTATTATTTCCTCTTAAATATTGTTTGGGTACCAGTATATGATGTCATTTATATGATACTTCTACAATAATAAGATAACCAATTTTTATTTTAATAACTAATTTACAATAATATAAAATTAACCAAACGGTATTAAATTTCTAAATTCTCGAACTCAACCCCATATTGATGTTTCAGTTGTAGAATCTTTTCTTTAACTGCCAACTCTTTTGTGTCTGTTTCTCTTTTCTCTGTTTCTGTTTTTCTAATTTTAAAACGTCTCTACTTAACTCTTCCTTTTCTTTTCTAATTTTAAGAATACTTAATTTTATTTTTTCCTTCTCTGAATCTTCTTCACACTTATTATTCTTTTTGTGATGTGGGACTTAAAGGCAAACTAAATGCACGACCAAATACTTACCATGTCGAGATAGCATTATGGGGTTTTTTCCTGGTTTTTCCCTCATAATTTACTATGGAATCACTAACAGGAGAATTTTACTGTCATCATGGCATGTGTTTGTCTTTTTAAAGATGAATTACATGCTATGATTTTTTTCTGACAGATATTCTCAAGTTAATGTTGATTTCATGTAATGGAATGAACTATCTTATAAGTAAAGTCGTTCCAAGAGCACAACTCAACAATATTGGCAATATCATTTTAAAGTCGTCTACTTTAAAATGCATAATGTATGTCTGAATTGTCAATATAAATGAGTCAGATAAAATTAAATTATTAGAAGAATTTTTCACTAAGTAACAAAAAAACAAAATTTGTTTTTAGTGTTTGTATTTTGAGAACAATTTCTGAAGTGGAAATTGAAATGTTAATAAACATATTTTAACCTTTAATTGGGGCTTATTCCCAGTTAAATAGTAATTAATTTAAAATGCCACAAGAAAATAGCTTCAGAACAACATTAATTACATATGTTTTACCTTTCTGTTACTGCTTGGCATTTTGCAGGGGTGACAAGAAATTTAACATATCTTGGCAACAGATGTTCTACCATCGCATCAGTTACTTCTGTCAATACTTTACTAAAAGTGGACCTTTCCATGGTAAAAAAAAATAAAATATAGTATATAATAAAATAAAAAGTAAATAAAATATAACATATTGGAATATATTCACTCAATTCTTAATATAAACAACATATCTTGGTTTCATGTGCTAAAGCATTTGATCTTTGCACTTGTCTTAGATGGGGCTGGAGACTTTCGAACCAAATGCAAAGACAATTCCCTCGATAACTTAAATATCTTTTAAAATACGGCTTCCACTAATTCCACTGGATTTACCAAATCTCGCAAAAGTCTTCTCTGAATGTTTTCTTCATCCCTATCAATAAAATAATTTTGTTTACAAAACATAACCTAAATAAATAATATACTATCAAAGAATATAGACGCTTATAAGCGTCTATATTCTTTGATACTATAATTAAAAATATCTTTAACAAACCTTCTAATAGCATCATCTAATTCTTCTAATAACTCATCGTTTAGAATCCGGCCAAAATTCTGGACTAAATAATTCATTTTATATTTTTATTAACTACACGTTATTCCCATCTACAAATAGTATGAGATTAAATCATCTCTTTAAATTGAACCTGTTATCAGAGAATATAATATATTATGTTAGCAAGATAACGTAAAACGTTACCACATAACGTTTTTTTTTACAAACGTTATCTGTGATACATGATCATGATACATGATACATCACATCATTTATTTTATTTATAAAACATTTTTGTTTTGATACATCCATCCAATCACAGGGCTGATTTTTAAGATTCAAATTACGTCACAGGAATACAGTTCAGCTTAATGTTCATTGGTTAGGCGGAAGAGGCAACCGG